GGAGATCCCAGCAAGGGCTGCAGGTGCTCTCCAGAGGGGTGTGTATTGGGGAAGCGGGGTGTGTTTGGGCCCAGAGTGATCTGTTGACCCTCTTCTGGGTATCCAAGACCTCAGGGTCAGAAAGGAAGCTCTGCAACTCTTTCTGTTCTACTAGTCTGGTCTCTCTGCTTTCTCTGAGGTTCATGGTCAAAGCATCTGGCTCTCCAGTCAACTCAGGAGCCAGGCATGGTGGCTCGCATCTGTAGTCCTAGCACTTTGGAAGGCGAAGGTGAGTGGACTACTTGAGCTCACAAGTTCAAGTTCAAGAACAGCCTGACAGCTTCTTAGTGGAGACTGATCTCCACTAAAAGTAGAAAAAAAAAAAAAAAAGGAACTAGCTGGGCATTGTGGTACATGCCTGTAGTCCCAGCTACTCTGAAGGCTGAGGAAAGAGGGTCACCGGAGCCCATGAGTTTGAGGTTGCTGTGAGCTATGACGCCACAGCACTATACCCAGGGTGGCAGAGTAAGACTCTATCTCAAAAAAAAAGAACGTTTTTTTTTTTTTTTTAAAGAAGAGCTACATCATCTATGCTCTTCTCCAGCAAGTCAGTCACTCCTGCTGCCTTCCTCCTGGCAGCTCCCCCTACCCAGGCAAAGCCTCTGCAGCAGCAGCCGACAGCTTCCCTGGCACCTCTGGGGAGTGTTAATGAGGAGAGAGATGTGGGGAAGGACTGCCTGCCTGCCTTTGTAACAGTTTGCTCCTTTGGCTCCTGGGACCAAGGAGCTTACACAAGGAACATGCTCCTGGGGGGAGGAGGTTAATGCTAACAAAGAATGCAGTAAGTTTGTACCAGGCAACTCACAGAAAGCGCCCAGTGCAAGCCTTTTTAAAGCAAAGACCCCTACAGGGGGGCAGCTGTCAGAACTCAACAGAATAGTGACAAGCAGCCTCCCCAGAGGTCAAGTCTAGCGGGAGGGGGGATACTTAGAGGGGAAGACTAAGATGTGCCCCTACCACAGCTAAGGCCCTGTGGAGGACACAGACCAGGCTCAGCCCCTCCGCAGGCCCCGCCCTGACACACAGGTCCCAAAGCCAAAGTCCTTCTGTTTGATTCCCAGGGAGGCAGGGGATGCATAAACCCTCAGGGACAACGGGTAGGTGACCAACCACTGGACAGAGGAGAGGCAGGGGCATGTCCTGCCTGGAGTTTGGGCTCTTCCCATCCTGCAGCCTTTGCCCGGGATGGTAGAGAAGGATTTTCTTATCTGGAAGGATCTCTGGAATACAAAGTCGACCCCTGTCTCATATGCTCGCACTTTTCTATAACCTCATCTACTGGCGGGATAGGAGAAAAACTCTGGAGTCCTCCATCTGGAAACCAGAGCCAGGCCTGACAGAATGTAACAGCCATCAATACGTACTCAGAAGCTGTGACATGCGCACCCACCATCAGGCACTAAAATAAGGCAGCAGGGGATGCCAAGAAGGGTAAAGACAGTCCCTGCCCATGAGGAGCTGGGTCTAAAAAGATGAGACAGGTAGATAAAGGAGCTGACAGTAAATAAAGGCGGAGCGTGAAAGTCCTTGCTGAGAGATGCAATCCTTACAGCGGGACTGTGGGAAGTCAGGGCTCAATTAGGAGCCGGTTTTGTTTTACTGAGCAGACAGATGTGGTGAGGGAATAGATGGGAATCCACAGGGTTGGGAGGCTGAGAAGAAGGCTGACGAGAAAGGTAGTGTGTGGCAGCTTCCAGAGATAGAAAAGTTGGGAGAACATAAGAGATGTTTATAAATTCGTTTTCTTTCAATATGACCCACTGGTTGTAAATAAGAATCTTCAAATGGGATATAGGAAGAAGTTTGCTCCCTGGGTACCACGCAAAGTTCTCCTCCACTTCCACAAAACTTTCATAAAATCTTCCTGACTGGCCTTTTTGGGGGAGATGAATTAATGTGGAGGGCAGCTAGCAGATGAGGCTGGCTCAGTGGGTCAAGGGGGTCCATTTATTCCTGGGTTACAGCAGGAAGTGGGGCCTTGGTCAGTCAGGAAGAGGGTGCATGGCTGGGCCTGGAATGGTGGTGAGGAGAGAAGGGGGGAGGCTCTGAGGATAGGGGGATCCTTAGAAGAAAAAAACCTAAGGTAACATGAAACTATAATAAAGCCTCAAGCCCTGGACAAGTGAAAAAATGTTGTGGGGGAGGGGTGGAGGTGAAGGGGGTGGATGGAACATAAGTCATTGATTCTAATCTCCCCAGGCCTGTATATCATGAATTTCACTTGGCTCTCAAAGGAGCTGGGTAGGTTACTTACCATCTCTCCCTAAGGCTGATAAATGACACCCCCCCCCAAGTGTTCTAATTTCAGTCTCTCCCCTCCTCTAGTATGTTTTCCCATACACATCAACACTAGAATAATCTTTTTAAAAGTCCAGCTTCCATTGTTTCTTCACTCTGATGGAAAGTCCTTCACTGACCTTCTTGTCACCCCCAGAATTAAACCAAAACTCTAGAGCAGGACATGGAGCATCCCAAATGAGGCCATGGCCGTCTTTCCCAGTTTGCCCCTTCTTCTCTCCCCTCAGGCCCTACCAGCACACCTGCAGTATTGCTTACCTCAGGGCCTCTGCACATGCTCCCACACTTTACCTGGAGTGTTTTCCCCAGATAACTGCTAACACCCAAGAAGCCTCCTGTGACCCTCCCCTCTGGTCAGTGTCTCCCCATAGGATCTCACCCCAGCACTGGGCTGGCACTTGCCACACTGTCTCCTTGCCACCTTAGTTAAAGGACAGGACCAGATCATGTTCTTCTTTGCAGCCCAGCATCCAACACAAGACCTGGCTCATCACTGGCATTTAGGAAATGTTCACTGAATGAATTTGAAACTCAAAATATCTGGCATAGCAGATACCCGTTGAGAAGTCTGTCCAGCTAAAAAGGACCCTTCTTTCTCTGGGAACTGCTCCAGATACCAACTGGACCACATGTGGATGTTTGACCAAAGCTGGGCCAAATGGATTCTGTAGGAAAGTGGAATTGATTCCAAGAGGAGGAGTTGTGTTTCTGGAATGATATAACATGTAAACTTTGGAATTGTGCCATGTGAGTACTGCACCATTTAAACTGGATAGCAGAGAAAGTCACTCCTTAAAGAAAGAAAGGGAAGTGACCATACAGGGGCCCTCAAATGGCTTTCTGAGTCCCAATCCCAGTCCTTTCCTGAGATGATTATGGGTTCCCGCCTTGGTCCTGGGAGATGTCCTGTTGGTCAGCAGCCTGTCCCCTATGTTGTGTGTGAGTTTTGTGGGATTTCTGTTTCTTACATAGTTCTAACCTCACAGGCTGACTTTTGTCCTCAGCAGAATTTCTTGAGGTTTATTTTCTTCAAAAAAACCCCTTATTTTAATAAATAAAGTCTACCCAAGCATAGATTAGACTTAAAATTGCACATACACATGCAGAACCAGCTTTATATTTTGTGGAGCACAGTGCAAAACGAAAATGTAAGATCCTTTGTTACAAGTACCATTAAAGACACTAAAATATAAAGCTTTTTCCTTTCTTCCACAGACTCTCTCTTGACTCTCTTCATGATGTTTATTTTCTTTTTAATGCCTTCCTAAGAAAGATTAACATTTTGAAATGTTAACATGAATCGTACTATTCATTTTTCTATTGTGCAGTGCCCATATGTAGATAAATCACCAAAATTACATACTCTGTGTTTCTTGGCTCCTCCCAGAAGGTGCCTCAAGCTGGGCAGAAAAAGGGAGCTTTGGGGGAAACTTTGGGAGTTTCAAAGGGGGAAGGCCCCCTCTGCACTGAGCTGTCCAAGGGAGCATCTCCACCAGGCACAAAGATGTTTTGCAGACCAACAAGTGTAGGCCTGCATAAGCTTCCAAGGGTCCTTCCATGAGACTCAGGCCCAGTGAGTCTGACAATGGTTGGGTTTCCCCTTCCCACCCACCACCAGACCAGTCAATGTGTCTGGGCCAGAATCAGGGCAGTTCAGCTGGGCGTCTCCCCCTTCTAGTGAGCTGGCTGCCCCCAGCAGACAGGAGGCTTTCAGTGCTTTTATACCTCCACACCAAGATGTGCTCAGTATCTGGTGGGCAAGAGACTTACCCTCCCTGAGTTGCTTGCTGAATGTGCCATGAAGCTGATAACCTGGAGCAGAGATGGTCACCATTACACCTCGGCCTGAAACTCCACAGAACAAGCACATCTCACTATGACCTTCCCTGCATGCGTACCAGGCCGTAGCCAGAGGCAGAGGGGCAGCACTGTTCATTGGGTGAGGCAGGGGAAGCCTGGATCCAGGGTGCCAGGGGGCTGGTTAGTGGGTGGCCATGAACCACCCACCCTAGGCAAGGAAGTAGGCTTGGGAGTCAACACCATGGCATGAGTCAGTCATAGCCCCCAACCTCTGGCACAGGCTCCATTGTTCCATCAGGTTTCACTTGAAAAACACACATCCAAAGTTAAAATCATGAATTCCAAGGCAGTGGCTACAGAGCGTTGAACCCTTTTGAACATGGAGCCCTATATGACTGAGCTGGTCATGTGCCCATGATGTTGGCCCTTGTACATCTGAGGAAGACCTTTAAACCTCAGCAAATAACATAATTTTGGGTACTGAATTATGAAGCTACAATAAAAGAAGGAAAACACACTACCCATGCACATAAAGGAAACTTAGAGCAACCAGGCCCATCACTCACATCTTACCCGAGGCCAAATTAAAGAGCAGATGTTTTCACTCCCCTTATCCCAGACTGCAGAATGGACCAGAAGGTGTGGTATGTATGAATGAACTAGCATTCAATTTCTGAGCATGAATTTGGGCTTTAGGCCAAAGTTAACACTACATAATGCCATCAGCTATTCAAAGGGTATTCCATGAAAGATAGAACAAAATGAGAGCATCAAAGAGGAGGAAACATTAATAATTTCCTTTGCCCAAATAACTTTGACTTTTATGGCTTATTTGTTCAACATGAGCTTCACATCCTAGAGGCTTATATAAAAAACTTTCTGTTGGCATTAGCTCCAAACAAGGCTGTTCGTATTTCTGGCATCTTTTGCTCAGCTAAGAGATCTAGTCGACTTTCCAGAGTATTGGAAACCTTTATTTTCTGATTGATGCTGTAGACCTCCACACCACCAGCTGAGTTCATAGGCAGGTGTGCTTCTTGATCAATATGGATCTCCACCTGTTTTTGAGAAACCATCACGTATTCAGAGACGGCTCTTTCCACTGCAGCCTCTACCAGGAGGAGGTCCTGTGGCCTGCAGCGCACAACCATCACAGGCTCCAGCAGTCGGAACAGAGCCTGGAGAACGAGTTTATCCAGCAGCCCCTGGTAGATGTCTGGGTCCTCCACAATCCTGCTGAGCCTCAGCTTTGCATCGTTGAGCAATTTTGAGATGAGATCATTTCGGGCTCTCAGGACTTGCAGCCTTGCCTGATTCCTCATGGTGGACACTTGGATTTTCTTCTGCTGCTCTATCTGCTTCTCCTTCTTCTCATAATATTCCATAATCTTCAGTCGCTGGGTTTGCACAAGGCGTCCTTTTTCAATGTTAAATTCTTCCTCAGCTTTGGCATCTATTTCCTCTGCTTTTTCATTGGCTTCCTGCTCAATGAAAGCCATCATGTGCTTAATCTGCTTCTGCACGTCAACATCACTCAGGGACATGGCTGCTCTCAGAAAGGGAAGTGGAGGGAAAGCTAAACTCTCTGGAACGTTTGGGTTAGGGTGAGTTTCAGGAGTGCCTTCAGAGTTCCACTCCCTCAGCTGTAGAGTACACAAGAGGGGGAAAGAGAAAGTCAAAGCCTAAAGAGAAGAATCATGGAAAACACATGTACACCTCTCACTTCACAGATGAAGAAACTAAGCCCCAGAGAGGGAAAACAATTTGTCCAAGGTCATAATCTGTCTAGAAGAACACAGGCTTGAACCTGGATCTCCAGATTTCCAACCCCACTACACTCATTATCATTTTGCCAGGCCTACAACTAATAGCGATATTGAATCAAAAACCTCTCAATGAAGAAAAGCCCAAGACCATGGCTTCACTGGTGAATTATACTAAATATTTAAAGAAAAATGTCAATCTTTCTCAAGTTCTTCCAAAAAAACTTGAAGAAGAGGAAACACTTCCAAACTCATTCTATAAGGCCAGCGTGACCTCTGCACTAAAGCCAGACAAAAGCACTGTAAGAAAAAAATAAAGTTAAACTACAGGGCAATATCCCTGATGAATATAAATACAAAAATTCTTTACAAAATACTAACAAACTGAATTCAATGGTCTATTAAAAGGATTCCATGGTGAAGTGGATTTATCCTTAGGATGCAAGGATCGTTCAACATATGAAAATTAGAGTGATATGCCACATTAACATAATGAAGAATAGAAATCACATGATTATCTCAATAAATGAGGAAAAAAATTTGACAAAATTCAATAACTTTCATGATAAAAACTAAGAATAGAAGGAAATTATCTCACTATATAAAGATAAATTATGAATAGACCATGGTTAACATCATACTCAATGATGAAAAACCAAAAGCCTTTCCTCTAAGATTAGGAAAAAGGTAAGGATACCCACTCTGTACACTTCTATTCAAAATAGTATTGTATAGCCCAGGCAGAGCAATTAAACAAGAAAAATAAATAAATAAGAGGCCTCCAAATTGTAAACAAAGAAGTAAAATTATCTCTGCTTGCAGATAACATGATCCTACATGCAGAAAACCATAAAGATTCCACACTCAAAAATAGTCTGTTAGAACTATAATAATAAATTCAGCAAAGTTGCAGGATATAAAATCAACTTTAAAAGTCAGTTATATTTCTACATACTTACAATGAACAATTTAAAAAGGAAATTTAAAAAACAAGCCTATTTATAATAGTGTATAAAAAAATACTAAGAAGTGAACTTGACTAGGGGATGAAAGATTTGTTCACTGAAGACTATAAAACATTGCTGAGAGAAATTAAATGAAAACACATCCCACCTTCATAAACTGGAAGACCTAATATTGTTAAAATGTTCATACCAACCAAAATAACCTATAGATTTAGTATAATTCCTGTCAAAATCCCAACAGTAATTTTTGCAGAAATAGGAAAAAAAACTTAATATTCATGTGGAATCACAAAGAACTCTAAATAGCCAAAACAAACTTGAAAAAAAATAACAAAGCTAGAGGTCTCACACTTCCTGACTTCAAAACATATTACAAAGCTAGAGTTATCTAAACAGTATGGTACTGGCAGTCAGACAGACATATATAGATCAAAGAAGCAGAGTGAAGAGCCCAGAAACAAACCTTACATTTACAATCACATGATCTTCAACAAGGATACCAAGACAACACAATAGGGAAAGGACAGGCTCTTCAATGAATGCTTTTGAGGAAATTGGATATCCATATACAAAGAAATGAAATTTGATCATTTTCTTTACACAAAAATCAATTGAAACATCACTGGTGAGGTGGTTCACTCCTATAATCCTAGCACTTTGGGAGGCCAAGGCAGGTGGATCCTCTGAGCTCAGAAGTTTGAGACCAGCCTAAGCAAGAGTGAGACCCTGTCTCTACTAAACATAGAAAAAGAAACTAGCTGGGCATTGTGGTGGGCACCTTTTGTCTCAGGAGGCTGAGACAAGAGAATTGCCTGAACCCAAGAATTTCAGATTGCTATGAGCTATAACACCATGGCACTCTATCTAGGATGCAGAGTGAGACTCTTTTTCAGAAAAAAAAAAAAAAAAGACTTAAACATAAGGCTTGAAACTATAAAACTCTTAGAAAAAAACATAGGGGAAATTTTCGTAACATTGGTCTTGGTGATTATTTCTTTGATATAGAAAAGAATATACCACAAAAGCAAAAATAGACAAATGAGATTGCATCAAATTGTTCAGCAAAAGCAAATGATCAACGGAGTGAAAAGACAACCAATGGAATGGAAAAAATATTTTCAAACACTATAACTCATAAGGAATTCATATCTGAAAAATATAAGGAACTCCTACTATTAAATAACAAAACAATAACGACAACAAAAGAACCCCAAATCACTTGATTGAGAAAGGACCTGAGTGGACATTTCCCCAAAGAAGTCATACAAATGGCTGAGAGGTATATGAAAAGATCCTCAACATCGCTAATCATCAAGGAAATGCAAACAAAGGCGTAATGAGGTATCTCCTCACACCTGTTAGGATGGTTAGGAACAAGAAAAGAAAAAGGAAATAAGTGTTGACAAAGATGTGCAGCAACTGGAACCTCTGTGCACTGTGAGTGGGAATGTAACAGACGGCCACTATGGAACACAGAATGGAGGTTCCTCAAAAAATCAAAAATAGAATTATTATAGGATCCAGCAATCCCACTTCTAAACATTTATCATAAAGAATTGAAAACAGAATTTCAAAGAGATATTTTCATATCATTAATTGTAGGATTATAAACAGTAGGTAAGAGGTAGAACCAACCTAATGTTCATTGATGAATAGATAAAGAAAATGTGTTGTATACATACAATGGAATATTATTCAGCCTTAAAAAGGAAGGAAATCCTGTCACGTGTTGCATCATAGATGTATCTTGAGGCCATTATTCTAAGTGAAATAAGCCAATCGCAGAAGAATAAATACTGCATAATTCCACTTATGTGGGTTATCTAAAGTACTCAAACTGAGAAGCAGAAAATAGAATGATGGTTGCCAGGGAATGGGGGTGGGGGGAACAGAAGTTGTTCTCCAGTGGGTACACATTTCAATCATGCAAGATAAAAGGTCTAGAGATCTGTTGTACAATAATATACATGTAATTAATAATACTGCATGATACACTTAAAAATTTAAGAGGGTAGATTTCACTTTATGTGTTTTCACACATGTACACACATACCCACACACAGGATGTCCCAAGGCCAGGCATGGCAGTTCATATCTGTACCCCTAGCACTTTGGGAGGCCCAGGCAGGAGAGGATCCCTTGAGCTCAATAGTTCAAGACCAGCCTGAGCAAGAGCAAGACCCCACCTCTACAAAAAATAGAAAAATTAGCTGAGCATTGTGGCAGACACCTGTAGTCCCCAGCTACTCAGGAGGCTGAGGCAAGAGGATGGCTCAAACCCAAGAGTTTGAGGTTGCTGTGAGTTGTGATGACACCACAGCACTCTACCCAGGGCAACAGAGTGAGACTCTGTCTTAGCAACAACAAAAATGGATGCCCCAGAAAGACGTACCACTGAATGAGCTTGATGGTATAATAACCTAGTGTTTGTGGCAAAGGCCAAGCCCTTGGGTTCAACCTTACAAACTCATTAGAAGTTAAAAAGAAAATTGTTTAGTTCATCTACTCCCCGTTATTTAAGGATGTACACTTTTAAAAACTGCTGTTTTGTAAAGAGAGCAAAACATTCTTTACTCCTAAATAAAACAAATGAATTAATGATTTTTTTAAAAAGGCTACTGACTAGGGCAGCACCTGTGGCTCAAAGGCGCCGGCCCCATATACCGGAGGTGGCAGGTTCAACCCAGCCCCCGCCAAAAACTGCAAAAAAAAAAAAAAGCTTCTGAGTAGTCATGCTGGTCACCAGCCACTGTCCATGAAAGTAGAAAAAGTGGCCAGGCACAGTGGCTCACACCTATAATCCTAGCACTTTGGTAAGCTCCCTTTGGAAGGCTCCCTTTGAGCTCAGGAATCCGAGACCAGCCTGGACAATAGCGAGACCCTGTTTCTACTAAAAATAGAAAATTAGCTAGGCATTGTGGTAGGCACTTGTAGTCCCAGCTACTTGGGAGGCTGAGGGGACCCCAGGTGTTTGAGATTGCTGTGAACTAGGCTAATGCCATGGTACTCTGACCTGGGGCAACAGAGTAACACCCTGCCAAAAAAGAAAGGAAGGAAGGAAGGAAGGGAGAGAAGAAGGAAGAGAAAGAAAGAAAGAAATAAGGAAGGAAAGAAGGAAGGAAGGAAGGAAGGAAGGAAGGAAGGAAGGAAGGAAGGAAAGAAAGATCCAGAAAGCTGCAGGTTGTGTGTGTAGAGGAATTAACATACCAGATGAACACTTCTCTGTCCCCTGCCAAGGGCCTGCCTTGCTCTGGCGCCGGGAGTCTGTATGCAGAATGTGGAACTTGGAACGCAGCATGCTGGAACCTGGCACTGTTGCTTCCCTCTCTGTATAGACGACCCTCGCAGACTGACCAGGCAGCTTGAATCCAAAGAGCCAGGCTGTCACTGGGGAAGGCTGGCCAAGTCTGCCACGAGGAGGCCAAGAGGGATTTCCTTGGCAGCTGGGCAATGGCTGGGGCTGTCCTTGTACACTCAGAATCTCAATTAAGTTGGCACATAGTGGGCTTCAGCTCTGGGATGGGCTCATCTTAACAGATATGTGTGTGGACCCCGGCAGCCAATTTGTTAATTTACAAATGAAAAATACAGCTGTCATGTTGGCAGATCAGAGCCTCCTTTCCCTGCATGTGAGTCACACGTGAGGCCAGCTCCAAAGGTTGTTTAATAGTTTCCTATTAAACTATTTGCTTGTTCTGGTTTCCCAGAACAGGCAAAATCTACCAGACATCCTTTTAGGCAGCCATACTCACCACAGGGGCTGCTGTGCTCAGGCCCACAAGGGAGGACGACCTCCACATGCCCAGACAGGGCCTC